AGATGAGATGATGAGATGCAGATGCAGATGGACAAGAAAGAAAAGAAATAACAAGTCTAGATACAAAACACAGGACAGGACAGGACAGGGATGGGTCAGGGATGTGAAGAGGACAGGATGGGGACAGGCAGGGAGAACATGATACAGCGACGAACAAACACGTCTACAACGACGAGGAAGTTTCCAATGTTCCAATTTTCGAATTTTGGTTTTGATTTGATTTGATTTGATTTCGGTTCGACGAGCGGTGGGAGGCGCGTGCGCGTGCGGACCTAGTAGCAACCCAAAATCAGCTCAACCGCTCAGTCGAGGCGCCCCAAAACCACTCACCGCACGACACGACAACGCCCAGCTCTACGTCGCACCAACCAACCCCCCCATCCCCACCCCCCTCCCCGCGCCCACTCCCGGTACTCCAGCAGCAGCAGCAGCAGCAGCGAGCATCCTCAACCTCTCCTTCTCCCTCCGCACCTTCATAACCACAAACGCAAGGTCCGCAGGCTCCGCGTCCTCCTCGTCCTCGTCCTCCTCATCATCACCGTCGTCGTCATCTGCCGGCACCGGCACCGGCACCGGCACCGGCACGACGCGCCCCCGCGCATCGAGCTCCAGCCCCCCCGCGTCAGGCCCCCGCGCGCGGATGTACTCCGGGTCGTCTTCCATCCTCCGTGCTGGGTTCCGGGCCGGGGTCGTGGCCGGGGGGCGCGCCGCACCCAAACCCGTGCCAGGCATCGACCCCGACCTTGGCACCTGCGCGTGCGGAGGCGCGTACGCGTACACGTTCGTAAACGCCGGCGGGGGCGGGAAGCCGTACCACGTCGTCGTCCCCGTCGTCCCCGTTGCGGGTGGCGACCCCATCAACGGCGGCACAGCCAGCGCAGTTGAAGGCACAGGCGGGAGGACAGGCACAGGCGAAGGCACAGGCGGGACAGGCGGCGGCCCGCGCGGGCTCGGGGGTATAACGATGCTGATCTGCCGCCCGTTGTGCAGGAGCGTGAGGTGCGACGGGGCGCGTGTGTCTTGTTCCTCTTTTGCGGGTGGGGAGGGTGCAGGGGTGGGGGTGGGGGGCTTCGAGTCTTTGGCGGGGACCTCGGGCCCTGGCGAGGGTGACGGGGAGTGCGATGGGGAGGGCGAGGGCGACGGGGTAGGGAGGGGTTTGTCGTGCAACGTAGGGGAGGGCGCGGGGTGCGGTGGCGCGACGGGTGGGGCGAGGTGCTGGTGGTGGTGCTGTTGAGCGTGGGACGGGGCGCGGGCGCGAGCGCGGGGCAGCGCGGGTGTCGAGTGTCGATAAGCCTCGGGATGGGGATTAGGATGGGGATTGGGATATGGATTGGGATGATGATGATGATGTGGAGGCGGGGGCATCGGCACATGTGTATGTCCTTGTCCTTGTCCATTCGGGATAGGCGAGACCCCGGAGGCCCTCCGCGGCGAGGGCGGGTGCGGGTGCGGTGACTGTGACTGAGGCGAGTACTGCCGCGGTGAATGCTCCTGAGGCGACCGCGGCGACGGCGGGTGCGCGTACCCCTGATGCTCAACAGGCGACGTCGGCATCGACATCGGCTGGCTGTACCCACCCACACCCACGCCCACGCCCGCGATACTCGCCACCGACGCGCTCGACATCGACTTCTGCGGTACCGGCGGGACCACCTCCTCCGCCGCCGCCGCCGACGTTGACTCCCCGCGGGGGCGCGAGAGCGATCGCAGGCCGAGCTTGGACCCGAGGGCTCTGAGGCCCGTGCTGCGCCTCTGCCTCTGTCTGCGCTCGCGGTCATGGTCGTCTTTGCCCTGTCCCTGTGGCTGTTGCTGTTGCTGGGGCAGGGCCTCAGACCTCAGCCCCGCGCTAGAGGGGAAGACGACGCTCGTGCTCGAGAGCGGGGGGCTCGTGTTCGTGTTCGTGCTCGTGGGGGACAGTGGTGGGGAGTACGCACCCGCGTAGGCCACCGAGAGCGAGGAGTGGGATTCATACGCGGTCAGCCCCACGGGCGGCGCGGCGAACCCGATAGTGGGGGACTCGGAGTCGAGGGTGTTGAGCGTGCTGATGGAGGTGAGCGAGTTGAGGGAGGCGTAGGACGACGAGGAGGGGATAGAGAGCGAGGCCATGCTCTGGTGAGGTCTTAGCGTGGCTGCGTGCAGATCTTGGTGCTGCTGTTCCAAAGCCCTCCTAACTCTCTCCTTGCGCGCCATCTCCCTCTTCACGCGCTCCCTGCGCGACTCGGGGACCGGATGGGCGTCGGCGAGGGAGAGGAGGGACGGCGTGGGGGACGCAGGCGGGGTCGAGTCGTACGTAGACTCGTGGAGCACGCGGGAGCGTGATCGCGACGTGCGGCGGAATGTCAAGTCGCCGAGGGACATGTCGGGTGCAGCGTCGGGGTGGTCGATGTAGGTGTCGCTGTCGTCGTCGTCGGGGGATGGGACGATGTGGAGGGGTGGTTGTAAGGGAGCTGGTGCGGGCGCGGGCGGTTGTAGAGGGGGGGAGTGGCGGCGGAGAGCAGGGGTGCTGGGGGAGGAGCGGAGTACGACGGGCGGGGATATGTCGTCGCGCTCTAGATAGGCTTTGCGCATTTCGAGAGCAGGTGATTGAGGGGACGAGGCAGCGGTGGACAGGAGACCGCTGGAAAAGCGGGAAAAGAGGGAGGTGAGGCGTTTTCGTTTTTGTTTTACAGTGCGGGTGTTGTCGTGCTGGGGGGACTGGGGAGGGGAGGACGGGGAGAGGTCAGCGAGGAGGGACGAGGTGGTTGACCAGCGTGATCTGCAGGCAGACTCTTCTGCTGGGCCTAGGTATACCTGTGAGGTGTGAGAGTCACACGCGTAGAGAGAGCGGATGTGGTGGAATTGCTCGAGTGCTTCGTCGTCGTCTGTGAGAGAGTCCGAGTCGTCTGGGAAAAGGGCAGAGGCGTCGTCTGGGTGGAGGTACACTGCATTGCGGGGATGGCTGAGACGGAGAGAGAGGGCTGAAGCGCGTGCACGCAGGGGTTCTGGCTGGGAGGGGGTGAGGAAGAGGAGAGGAGGTGAGGAGACAACATACCTTTGAATCACACAGGTCTCTTGGATAGCCAGGAGCAGGAAAGTGGAGAGGGTCGTCCGAGTGAACAGAGTCAAAGCCCAGGACAGGCGAGTCCGCACGAATAGCTGGGTCCATCGAGCAAGCGAATCCATTTCTTCCAACCAACATTTTATGAATTCAGTTCACATCCCCTTTTGGCTTAGGATTCCCAGATCTAGATCTGCAAATCCGATTCTCTGGATCTCTACCTCGGATCCCCAGGCCAAGCCCGAATAGGACCCTACCTCTCTTACCTCAACCCATCCTATGTTTTCGGCTGCACCCCGCCCACCCTAACACCTGATCCAATCAATGTCCTCGTCCACGAGATGCTCCACCCACAGCCACCCTGGATGTTGGCGCACATATAATATCCAGAGCCCGTCCGGGTGCAATCCCCACAACCATCCCCCTCCAGCAGCCCAAAGACATCGATCGAGCCCACTGGTCCTAAACCAAGGACCATCCGCAGCTGTACCCGTCCCGTCCCGTCCCCCTAGCCCCGCCTGCGAACGTTCTGCATACTTTGCTATTTATACACACACAAAGTACACACGGGTCTATGGGCCTGGCGGGCGGGCCTGGATGCCTAGCGTACTTACGCGTAGACGGGCTCTGTATACCACCTCCATACACGCCTACGCCAACTCAATATATACCCTGCTCCTCCTAGGCTGCCTATAAAAGTTGGTGTTTCTCCGAACTGCTACGGATCCGGACCACCCACGGCGCGGTGCGTTGCGCCTACCCGCCCGCTCCCCCGCTCGCTCGCACGGTGTTTTCGGTCATCATATCGATATCTAGACATTTCCTGAATTCACGGAGACGCCATACGCATGGGTCTTTGGCCACATACGCTCGCATCAATAATCATATGTATAATCATATGTACCCTCGGGATGATATGTCGACAAGGCGCGTAGTCGTAGTCCCCATATGATGTGGCTCTGTATCATCTAGTTCCCATCATATCATATCATATCATATCGTTTCGTATCATGATCTCTTTTTACCATTTCAAGTGAATCTTTCTGTTTCTGTT